CATTTTCTGCAACGGGTTGCAAACCCAGTTGCAGTACAGCTTGAGAATTCAAATAACAACGAGATGCCCCACAGTCTATTAAACACAAAAGACCATGTCCACAACACCTCGTTTGAATCCTCAATAACCAACCATCACGGTGCTGCGACGGTACAGCCACTGTGTCCCCAACTACCGATTCCTGTCTAAAAACAGGGGGCGTTGCTGACCTACCCAGATGCAGCATACGCCATTCCATTTCCCTATCTCTCTGTCCAACTACCGGCTCTGTCACTCGGTCCAAAATAATGGACTGACTCTCTGGCCGCCTCTGAGCTGTCTGGGGCTGCGTGGTACTCCCGGGGTCCTCACGCTGCCCTGCAGATCTCGGTAGTTGCGCCTCGTTCTGACAATGGCTACGACTTGGTGCAGCAGGCTGGTGTCGCCTCCACTCCTCTGCACGCTGCCTTTGTCTTGAGCAGTTTCCCTTGAGTGACTTCTGTACTGCTCTTATCATGTCTCTCTCCGCAGAAATGGCACACAAATGTTGTAAGTGTCTCTGTCTCCGCTGTCTCCTTTTCTGCGTACGTGATGACGAGGTCTTGGTCCCCAATCCTCGAGCCCCTCCAGATCGGCTTGGAGAGCTCGGAAGTGCAGGCCCCGTCAGTCCTCTGGACCAGCCAGTCTGGGGCCGCACTAGTTTCCCGGCGGGTTGGAGGGTGCTGTCTGGGTTCCAGCACCCTCAGCCTGGCTGGTCCCTGCCAGTCCCGCGTTGCTTGCATGACGTCCTTGGCCTCTGCCTCCAGAACGTCCCCCGCGATCGCCACTGCGTCCTCCGCGTCCTCGCCCCCGGTAGTTCCCTCGGCTGGGACAGACACTGGCCTTGTGTCCAATGCCCCCACAGTTGTGACAGGCAAAAGGGAATGGACCTGCCTGCACATTTTGTCCTTGTGACTGCCCCTGACTCTGACCCTGCCCTGCACCAGCACCCTGTCCAGCATTCTGGCCCATGTTCTGGCCAGCACCTCCGCCTCTGCCTCGGCGTCCTCGTCCGTGCTAGCCTCCCCTATTTCCCTGGCCAGACGATGATGATGCAGCTGGGTTTTGTCCCTCACTGGCTCTCGTATGTTGTGCATACTTGAGCGTCACTTCGACCCGCTCAGCCTCCACCATGAAATCCTGCAATGACCTGGGCGATTTCAGTAGCAATAGCTCTGCCACTCTAGGCATCAGACCAGAAGAAAACTGGTCCTTTGCCCATGCCTCGTCAAATCGTGGTAGATGGCCAAGCAGCCGGCTGAACCTGGCTGCATACACACGCACACTTTCGCCTTTCTGCTGCTTGATGGCACGCAGCTCAGCACGTGCCGTCATCTCCTTGGTGCGGTATCCGAATCTTGCCCGCAATGCCTCCGCCAGCTCGTTCCAGGTGCGAGGCTCTCGTCCGGTAGTACGAATGGTGTTGATCCACCACTCGCGAGCAGCCTCTTGCAGAAAAGTGAGAGCATATCCCACTTTCTGTTCTTCCGGTGCAGCAACGGTCCTGAAGTACGCTGACACCGTGTAGATCCAGCTCTCCACATCCTCACTGGTCTTGCCACAGAAAACTGGCGGTTCCCTTGGCTTCATCGTCACATGGAAAACTGGTCCGGATGCACCTGCTACATTCTGTCCAGCGGTTCCTGCACTGAAACTGACTGGCACTGCAGACACTGGTGGTACTGAAACTGGAACATTTCCCGGTAATTGACTGCCCTGTCCTTGCAACTCTGGCGGTACTGATTGAGCAGCCAAAAGTGACCCTGATGGTCGGATACTGGACTCTCCTACAAACACTGGTGCTGCCACAGGATTCTGAACTGGCACTTCTCGATCCACAAGTGCAGAAGGAAACTGAAAGTCATCAGGCTGGTTCGGATCAGCTGGAGGTACTGAAATAGCAGAATGGGGTGGTGCAGACTCAACAACAGCATCAGGCAAATACGAACCCTCATTCTGATAGAGAGGCTCGTCCCAGGCTGCCTTATAATCAGACAGCTCTCGTTGTACCTTTTGCCTTTGCTCCCGCTCCATGCTCAAATCCCGTCGCAATGACTCCAGCTGCTCGCTCAAGGACAGAATCAGCTCATCTGTCCTGGTGGTCATCTGTGAACCTTGGGCCTGTTGTTGTTGCCTCAAAGCTCCCAGTTCCTCCTGCATCCTCAAGGACCTCTGGTCTTCATACGCCTTCTGTTGTTGTAGCCTCGTTCGGAGGTCCTCAATTCTGCCAGATGTCGTGGCCTGCTCCTCAACTCGATGTTGTTGCAATGCTTGCACATTTGCAGATTGTGCAGCATGAGCTTCACGTAGTTCTTGCCGTAACCGAGCTGTTTCCTCCTGTTGCTCCCTCAAACGAGTCTTGAGCTGATGACGCTCTTGGACGGCTACTTGCATCTCCTGCGAGGTGTCTTTTGCCAGATGGGACATTTGCTCTGCAGTCAATACAGTGGACGTTTGGTAGTACTTGGTCAGCGCCTCTTCCACCGCTTTGCGCATACTTGCGGTCTCCGTAACCGCTTGCTGGGCAACCTGGAGAGCTACCCCTGCATGCCCAACTGCCGATTGTGCAGTTTCTTGTGTCCGCTGCAAAGTGCTTACAGCTTCGCCTTCCAATGTCAATCGGCTTCGTGGTGGTGTTGGGCTCCGCCGCTTCATCGCCGGTGCTTTTGTAGGAATCCGCGATGGAGCTGCACTGGCAGCTGTAGTTCTCCGCGTAGGGGTTGATGGTCTTCGGCTTGGTACCCCAGACCCCGCAGCACTGGATTCAGCTTCCGGATCCAATCGCGGTATGGGAATGGCCGGCGATTGACTCGATTCGGTCATGGGCGCATCCTCAGGCCCATGCACACTTCCGGATTCACTGCCATTCAGCTCCATGCCAATCCGGCCCTCTTGAGACATCTCAGACTATGATGAGTAGCAGAACTCCCAGCGATTGCCCCACCAACACTTGCGCTCAACGTAATGGAGGGTGCCCCACACTTCCGCACCCACAGCACAGCAAAAACTCACGTCCGGGTGCTGCGATGGCGATGCCGTCGATCGATCCAAACTTGCCAACCTCCAATCCTCGAATCTGCTTCCCGCGCGCTTCCTGCCAACGTGGTTGTCGCCCCGGCTTATGCCTCGGCAAGGCTGCTCCGCTGGCCTTGCCTCCGACGCACAATCGTCGTAGCCAGAAGCTCCGAAACCAATTTGTCGGCGCGGTCCCCCCTTGGCCGCGTCCAGGTACCCTGGCCCGCGCTCTAGGGCCTCTCCAGTGGAAGCGTGGTCGTCCTCGGCCGGACAGCGTGTCCCGGGCTCTCTCTGGCCCGTGGGTGACGGCCGCCCTGTGCGGTCCCGTCCGAGGCGCGCGGCGGCTGCGCTCGAGGAGGCAGGGAGGCAACGTGTTCCAGAACGATCGAATTACAATCGGCGTGGCCGCGCACGCTCTTACATCCCGCGGCACACAATTCCATTAATATCCATTAAACTCATTAATCCCATTATCTCCGGCGGCCGGGGGCTCCGCCCCCAGACCCCCCTGTCTTGCGAGCACCCTTCGGGGGCTACGCACAGCCTCGCTTCGCTCGGCCGAGCTTGCCCCCTACGGGACCTCGCAAGACACAGTCCCACGAGCAGTTCGCCAAACAAAGTGCACGAAATTACCACATCCCCCATCCCGATCACAACGCGCAGTATGTGTTAGTCACGGGTCATGAGTGTCGAATACACTTTTGGGTCGATTGAGGCCCATACGGCTGCGGTGATGGCTTGCGAATCACGCTCGTGGCGATGGCAAGCGACACCGATGGTGGTGGGCGATCCCGGTAGAGGTCACGCCGAACCCAGCGCCTTCTCTCGAGTTGTGGAGCCGCGCGTTGCAACAGTGGGATGCGATTCCCCATCGTCGCACTGGCGTTGACGGCCATCGCCAGTGCCGATGGCCACAGCGGCGATGGCTCGGGTCCCAAAACTCAACGGTCGAAGTTGCAGCCCCACGCGAGGGCTCGCTCCGGCGTGGGGAGCTGCTCCGTTTCCCTAAATGCTCTCTGCCGTGACAGCCATCGGCACAGCCAGGGCGGCACGCGAGGCAATCACCGCCCACCTCAAGGCGAGGCGCTGAGGCCCCTAGACCTATGAGTGAGTTGATGCGTTTATTGCAGAGGTCGGTGGGGTGGGTCCCGTCAAGCCCGATGGGCGTGCTTGAGCGCGAGCACGGGGTGGGGTGAACAACCCCGCCATCGCGACTGTAGCGTGCGATGTGTGACAATCACAAACCGAGACTGTCGAATGCTATCCAGCATCCGTGCGTCAATCAGCCAATCTGGCTGCAGCGGTTGTTTTGCAATCCAAACGTGCGGGTGGAAGCAGAATCCGCGGGAGGGCTTCCCCAGGATTTGTTGTCCAAGGAACAACATCAACTGCGCAGCCCAGGCACCGAGTGAGCAGGCTCTTAATAACGGATGAAGCAGGAACGAAAAAAGTGCAGAACGTCGGGGCCGAAGGCCCGACTTCTGGACTGGTACTTAGAAATTCGCCACACCAGCCGTCGAGAGGCGGCCTCATTTTCCAGGATACGCAAATTTCCCTCGAAAATCCTGACCGACCACCGCCCCCCTGGCCCCGATCTGCGATATTTCCTGAATCGAACCCCACCCAAGACCCCTCGCGCGTGGCCTCGTGAACGAGAACGCCTCCCAGCGCCCCGACGCCGTCCCAGCGCACGGCACCACCGCCGGGCCTCTGTACATCCTTTGGCCATCCCCGGGGCCATCTTGTTGCTCCCCGCCTCCCTGCCGCGCCCCTGAAGATCCCGTGGGCCGGTTGGCGCAGCGCAGCGCCCGCGGGCCGCGCCCCCGCCCTGGCAAAGAGCCGGAGGAACGGCCACCGTCGCGCGGCAACCGCGACAACCGGCACCGTCGCATCCTCTCTTCCCGCAGAGCGGGGCCGCCCGCTGCGTCTCAGAAGGCCGTCACCGCGCTGGTTGCCGAGTGGGCAACATGTCGGCCAGGAACCGACAGGAGTATGACCACCTGATCAAGCTGCTGCTCATTGGCGACAGTGGTGCGTGCGGGCTAGATGGCTGGTTGCTCTCCCGCGCTCGCGCCTGCTCTGCCCTCGCTGCGTCTTTCGCGGGTGCTGGTCGACGGCCGCATTCCCAGCGCCGGGGTCGTGGCCGCAAATGGCTGGCCCCTGGTGTGAGGATGTTTCGCCAGCGGCTGTTCTGCCCGCGCTGGGCGCTGCAATTGAGTCGGGGTCCGTCTGATGCGCGCTTATGGGCGCAGGCGTGGGCAAGAGCTGCCTGCTGCTGCGCTTTTCGGATGACACCTTCACGACCAGCTTCATCACCACCATCGGGTAAGGGGGGTGGGTCCGGGGGCGGGAAGGCGCGTGCCGCAGCATTGCGGGCGCCGCGCGAGCGCCCCGGGACGCTGAGAGGGCTCCGCCGTGCGCCGCTGCGGCCCTAACGGTTGCCTTGGGCGCTGCGGGCTTGCAGGATCGACTTCAAAATCAAGAGCATCCACCTGGACAACAAGTGGGTGAAGTTGCAGGTCTGGGACACCGCGGGCCAGGAGCGCTTTCGGACGATCACGAGCGGTGAGCGCGCGCGCGGCCGCCGGTCCTCTGGTGGGGCGGCCAGGGCGCATTTCGCTGATTGTGCTTTCTGCTGCTGTCGCTCGGGTCCAGCTGCGATGCCTTTCTGCTTTATGAGCGGCATCTGATCCCCCCTGCTGAGTATTCTGTATCTTCTTTGGTAGCCTATTATCGGGGCGCAATGGGAATCCTCCTGGTGTATGACGTCACCGACGAGGGGTCGTTCAAGAATGTGAGGAACTGGATGCAGAACATTGAGCAGCACGCATCGGAGAAGGTCAACAAGGTGGGTGGCATGGGGTCTAGAACACCGCCTGTTGTGTTCCTTGGGTTTTTCCCGTTCCCTCTGTATTCCTGGGCTCGTGTAGGGCAAAGAGAGATGGATTTTTAGCAAGTCTGCTTGCTGAAAAATGTCCTTCACAAATCGGGATTGGGCTTGATAGTGAGACTGCAAGTATCGCGTACAAGTACACATTTACTTCAGTTACGTTGCTGCTGGGGTGACCAGTGCTGGATGGAACTTCAGCTCTGTGTTACCACTCGTGGTCACACAGAGTGCCATCTGTTATCACCTGTACAGCAGTGTTAGTCCTTGAGACCTTGCCCAACTGGGTAAATGCTGTCAAGGGATTTAAAAGCCAGTACATCAAGCCGTTCACTCCCAAAAGTAGATCCCGTTGACCTTTTGCCCCGGACCTGTTCTGCCAGGATGGACTTGGTCAAGCAATCAAAGAATAGGGAGTAGCTTTGGGTACTTGCAGGTTGGAAGCGTGCCATCTGCTGCAATCATGGGCTGCCGCACCACAGGAATTTTTTCTCTGGGCATGTCTCCATCGACAATGTGTCACATTCCAATTCTGCCATCAACTCCTTCTGCAGCAGCCTGTGCAGCATCCTGTTTGCAACAAAATACTGTTTTGTGACTTTGTTGACCTCAGTCGACTGAACATTCCTCTGGGTCTACATTGCCTTCGCAACGGCTGTGTCTGACAGCCGCCTGCACCTTCCACTGACTTGTGCATTGCTGTTGTCTGCAGATATTGGTTGGCAACAAGAGTGACATGGGGAAGGACCGGCGAACGGTGTCATATGGGGCTGGAGAGCAGTTGGCCAGAGAATACGGGATTCCTTTCTTTGAGACCAGTGCAAAAACTGGCAGCAACGTGGAGGAGGTGAGGACCCCAAAATATAGCAAGACTTTCTAATCACAGGATGGGCTGCTGAACTTGCCCCAGTCCTGCCTAATCATGCCAAGGTATTTCAGAGGAGTGCCCTCAAGTTGGTCACTGCTCGCTCAAAGTGTCCACAGTGGGAAAGGTGTGGGAGCTGCATGCAACAGATGGCAGCTGTGCAATGCCCATGCGATATCGATGCACCCTGCACAGTGTCATGAGGGCTGTGCACTCAGCAGGAGGGATGAATGCCGTGGATGGCACTTGCTGAACACACGAGCAGAAGTGTGGGCTATTATTGCTGTATCTGTGCTGTAAGGGCACAGTGGTTTTTGGGACCCTGCATGCTGTTTGCAGCAAGAAGTTACACAAAACGCCCTGCAAGATGATGGGCACCCTATTGAGTTAGTTGATAGAGCAACAGCAGAGAGAATAGCGTCTGAGTACAGCATCTCAGCAAGGGTTGGTGCAGAGTTGGCTGGCACGATGTCCATCTGGCACGTGTCTTGGGCATGCTGTGTGCTTTGGCAGTCCTTCTGTACCGCTGAAGGTGAGGGAATGAATATGCAGCGAATGTGAGTTTGGGGCCTCTGGCTTTGTGGCAGGTGTTCCATTGCATATCGAGAAACGTGCTTCAGCGGCTGAAACAGGAGGAGGAAATGGGTGCTGCAACGCCCCCGCCACTGCCCAACTTCAAGATTGGACATCAGCGAGAGTCGTTCAAGGCAAAGAAGCATTCTTCGTGTTGCTAACACTCTGGGGGATACCATGGGCTGGGGCCTTTTGGCACCAGCAGGATACTGTCAGCGCATGCAGCAGATCAGGTTGTGTCAGGCGCTGCATTGTGTACTCCACACCGGAGGCCCAAGCGTCTCTGCTGGTTGTTGCTGCCATGGGGTCGCAACAGCTGTATCAACATACGGCTGCAACCTCTGCAATGTTTTCGTTGTCATCCCCATGGCAGCCCTGCAGAAATGTTCGTGAAGGTGTAGAACTGAGTTGGGCTGGGGATTGCATTCTGTGGGATGGGAGGGGACACCGTCAGGTGGCTGCAGCACTGATTGATCGACTTGTCATGTGTATGATTAAGGGCGGTTTACTGCAGTGGGGTGTGGCCTGGGAAATGCATTGCCACTCTGAAGCTGGGTGTGCTGCATCAGCCCCCATTACTGGTCCTGTGCTGTCCGCCATCCGCTGTGCTATTGATGGGCGCTGTTCCCCATACCCTCGCATTGGTGCACAAGGTTGCCAACGCCTGGGTATCCTTTTTTTGGGGTTTTGACTGTGAATATGAGAATGATGGTGACACGCTGCTGACTGGAGAGAACGACTGTATAGGTTCCAGGCCGACTGTGCCAGACTGTGTGAGAATGGCGAAGTTGGGCAGAAGAACTGTGTGCTGTGTGGGTGGTTGACTTTTGTGGGGATTTGCGGCTTTTGTACTGTGTGGAAAATCGTCACCCCAAGAGCAAAGCATTATTTGGGCGTGCTGTCGAGGTGGGGGACATGCACCTGCAGCATAAGGTGGTTGGCGAAGCCAAACACCTCCTTGTGCCCAGCCTGGCTGGCAACTCGCAATGGGATTGTTGCAGGGCAACTGATGTTCAAGATGCCATGAACGCCGCTGCATGGAGGTTTGGGTGCCTGGGCAGTGTGGGGATTGGTTGGCCGCTATTCTTCGCAGCTGTGAAGTTGTGGTTTTTCTTGGGTTGGTTTTGCACACCATGCTGTGCGTGCAAGAGCTGTTGCTGGTGCATCAACTGGCATGCCTCAGCACCTCTGCTGTTGGTTGAAGCCACACAAGTGTGGTCTCGCCTCTCATGCACAGGCCACAGCCATCTTGGCCAGTAGAACCCTGGGGAGACATGGTGCAGGTGCTGGCACAGCAATGGAACACACGTGCCGCCATGTTGCCAAGTCCCAGGCTTCAGCACATTGAAGCATACTGGGGAAGTGCCAAAGGGGGCACAGGTGTGGGAATTGTGCAGTTTGTGGATTGTGAGGTGTGCGCAGCCTCTGTACTCCTTGACAAAAAGTGACGGGTTGGCCACAAATCAAGCCCATTTGCAACAGTGTTGTGTGGCTGTGTTGCTGATGCCACACGGGCAGTGTCCCAAGAAGCGAACCGTCTGCAGAACAGATTGGAACTTGCACTGACCAGCGATTGGCGTGTTGTGGAAGAAGCTTGGATGCAGAAACAAGTGCGGAAGCCCTTCCATCACCTTGGCGGGCGCCCCAGTGCTGTATGCAAATAGATGCGGTCGAGGGAATTGCACTGCATAGGCGATTACACAGCAGAATCACGAAGGAGTTTCCTGCCCTTTTGTCCAGGCCAGGTGCACAAGATTAAAGGGTTAACAATATCACGAGCGCACGAGTCCGCAACGACCATGCAGGCAACCCTGTCAAGGTGTGGAACAACGCGGTGGACCACAGCCATACATCGCCGCCGCCAGTCGAGCGCCGCGACCATAGTCGTCACCTGCGCAGCCGTTGCAGCGGGCGGAGTGGCCCATGGCGACCCCCTGCGGCCCTGGGCCAGCAGGCCTAGCCGGTCGCACGTCAGGCCAAACCCTCGCGTGGATGTGTCTGTCAACCCCCGCACGATTCCGCAGGAATTTTCCGATGTCGGAGAAGTCCAACCGGCAGTAGCTGACTTCCCCGGAACACTTTTAGTTTTCTGCCACCGGGAAAGGACAACCGCACGGCCCCGCAAGCGGCGGTTGGCACACTGTGCCCCGAGCAGGACCGCACACACGCCTCCCACCACTCGACTTGCATGCTTCGCGTGGGCAACGCCACGGGCCAACCGGTCGAGGGATCATCGGCCAGCCCCAAAACGGACGGCAGACAGGCCGCGGGCGCCGGTGCCGCCCAACCTATCACGGGTCGTCAGCCGCGCCCCGCCCTTACGCCCTCACGCCGCCTGTTCTTAGTGTCGCGCCTTGAGGCGCGGGAGCCCTGTGACTGTCCGTCCCGCCCAACCTCGTGCGCTCGCGGCGCAGCGCCGCCCCTCCAGTCGTTTGCGCGGCCACCCCGGCAACGCCCCCCCTGCCAGAAACTCAGGCTGCTCAAATTCCATTATTAACCCTGGGCCCGAACCCCAAAGTACGGGCGCAAAGTACGGGCGGGCGGGGAGTACGGGGGCCAATGTACTCCCGCGTGTGGGGCGTGGGGGGAAGGATCCGGCTCAGATCGTGCGTGGGAGGATTGCGGATGGGTTGCGATTGGCTGGCGGGTGGGCGGCGCGTGTCGCTGTGGGGGTGCCAAGAACGGCTGCCGCTGCTTTGCACATCCTGCCATGGGGGAGGGCGTCGTCACGGTCATGGAGCCGCAGGAGCTGGCCGCGCTGCTCAAGAGCCCCGACAGGGAGCGCACGCTGGTGCTGGACGTGCGGGACGACGTGAGTGGCGGCGGCGGCGGCGCGGAAGGGCAGCGGCGCCGGGGATCTATATTGGAAGGGGGACAGTTGGTGCACAGAGAAAGAGAAACGGACCGTTCGAAGGGCGCCTTGTCGTAAAGCAGTGTGCGCGAGACCTCCGAGCATTCTGTGAGGAGATTTGTAGAGTCTTCGGCGCTGAATGAGCTGGCGACGCGGGCTGGGGGGGGAGAGGGGGTCGCGCGATGGCGTTTGGGGTTTGGGGTTTGGGGTTTTTAGGGCGGGTGGGTGAGTGCGGGACGCGCTTTGCCCCTTGCGGCAATCTTTCCGGGGGGGATTGGCCTGGGAGGGCTGTTGGGGATGCGGCGCGCTGGCGGGAGGCTGGCCCCCCTGTGCCGGATCCGCGAAAGCCCTTCGAATCCGGCGCTCCGTGCAAAGCCCTCGGCCGCACCGCGGCGCCTGAGGCCGAAGCCGCTCGCTGCGGGGGCATGCGAGTCCCGGGATGGGATTGTGGGCGGCGGGGTGATCGCGGCCTGGACGTGGTTTGTTGCCCAGGACTTCGTGGGGGGCCACATCAAGGGCTGCGTCAACCTGACGTCCGACCACTTCGACGACGACGCCGAGGTGGACGCGATCATCAAGGAGCACTGCGTGAACAAGGACCGCGTGGTGGTGCACTGCATGATGAGCCAGAGGCGGGGCCCGGCCTGCGCGGCGCGCCTGGCGGACCGCGTCCTGGCGTCGGATCTCGACCCCAAGCCCACCGTGTTCGTCCTAACGAGCGGCTTCCAGAAGTTCGGCCAGCTGTACTCGCACGACCCCGACTTGTGCGAGGCGTGTTGATAAGCAGGCCTGTTGATGCATTTATGAATGGGCCCATCGACGGTCCCCGCGTGCGGCCGCCCGTCGGTGGGCGCACTGCGCCGATCGTCCGGAATGCAAACTGCCCGGCAAGCGGATGTTGAGGGCGGGTCGAATCGCGGATTAGATCAAGTCGGGTCGATTTGACGGCGCAGTTGGGAGCGTGAATTCCTTAAGTTTCGGAGAGGGGCCAAGGTCCGTCGTCCGTGCGCGTGGGGTTTCTCGTTGCGCACGCGCACGGCGCGCAGCGGGCGAGAACGGCGCTCGAGTGTGTGGGGTTTTCTTTGATTTTTTGGGATTGTTTCGAGCGGCGTTCGATGGACGCCTGGGATCTGTTGCTCAGGAGACTGCCGACGCGGAGCGGCAGAGATTCTGTTGTTGGGGTTAGGTTGCATTGTTTGGAGGGGGCAGGGTAACAGGCGATGCTCATTGCCGTCCGCCGCAGGACGGTCCATTATTTCTTCTTTGGCTTACCTCTCAAGGACGAAGTTTAGTCCATAGTATGTGAGTTTCACAGCTACAGGACCTGTTTTTCTTTCCATGGGGATTGGCAACCACGGTTTTTTCATGGAGACACTTGGGAATCTTGTTGAGGGGGATTGTGAACAGCCCGCCCAGGTGATGATAGGAGCTCGGCTGCCTATAGGCCCATTCAAACCCGGATTTCGAAAAACAGATGCAGATTGTTGGCGGGATATTTCGGGGCTCAGATGGTGGGGTTTGAACTGCCATGATTGTTGTGGTTACAGAAATAAGGAATGCCATTGAATGCCCGCAGGCGATGCTCTTGGCTATGAAAGTCGCATATGTCATGGCCATGAGAGGCGCAGTGTGGAGGCTTCCTGTTGACAAGAGAAGGGTGTGCGAACCCTGTGGTGTGTGTTGTGCTTCACTCTGGAGTTGGGGGATTGTTGATTCGTTTTGTGCACACGTTGCTGAATATGTGGCAAGCGCTTTCACTGTTTCGCTGCATCTGCTGTTGCTGTCACAAGGGACAGCACAGAACACATCCATCCAGCAAGCATTGACTGCTGGCTCTGGTCCTGGAGGAACATGACCGACCCAGTCCACACACTTTGGTCGTCCACAGCGGCATGATCTTCTGGCACATCACATGCACTTGTTGCCCATGTGGCTTCAGCTGTTGTGCGCAGCACTATGCTTTGTGGCCAAGACCACAGCACCAAAAAGCCGACCGAGTGGTTGCCCAGAATACAGGTCTGGCAAATACGCAAAGGTGCTGGAGAGACTATCCACTGTTTGTCCTGAAACACAGTTGACAAATGTACGTGCACATGCTGAAATCTCATGTGGATGTTGCCCTCTGATGGCACCGCCCGCTGCTGCCAGGACTCCAACAACCTCGATGGGAAAACTGTGGATGTGGCTTGTGCTCCTTGGAGTGGGAGAAGTGCAGTTGCCCTGGCCCACTGAACGCACAGCAAGTTTCGAGCCTGGCAGACAGTGCCGTGAAGGTGTATGGTGGACATCACTTCGTGCCGAGGGCCCAGACTCTGATGTCCCCTGCACCATTGGAGTTGTGTTCTGGGGCGCCCATAGATGCATTTGCCGTAGCCCTGAGACCTTCGCGTGTGAGGGTACTAGAATCCATGCGGATCAATGGAAGTTGCATCATCACGCAGTATTCCCACGATTCCCCTTCCAGGCAGTGCACTATCACGTGCTGGGGCAGCTTTGCACGCACTGCAACTTGCCGAACTGTGTGAGACAACTTTTTTTTGCATCGTCTCACAGCGCACCTCCCTGCAACATTTTTCTGCCAGCCACCCCCGCCATCCCTAATTTTGGGAGGACCACTGACGAAACCTGCAACAGCTGTCGAGGTCCTCTGTCAGTTGTGCCTCACATTGTGTGTTGCACCATTCCCACTCACGTGCCAAAACTTGCATGCACATCACCCCCTTGCGGCTGTTCTACGTCGCGAGCGTGCCGCCCCAACGCACAGCTCACAGGTGCTCTAAAATCACCTTGTTGCCCCTGTCTGCCGCGGCGTTCTTAATCCCAACATTGGTCCTCTTTGGGGGCGGATGTTCCTTCATGGACGAGCCATATTCTGTGCTGAACTGTTGCCTTTCACCTGCGTGATGTTTTGCTCCCTTCAGTTTGAACTGTGACTCCAGGGCGCCCCCCCTGCCTTTGGGATACACGCTTCTGTGCATGGCAATGGGCAGGTCCCTGTACTTGTCGTGAGCTTCGGATACGTTCGGAGCGTCTTCGCATTCGCCTCGGCTTATCACGACCTGTTGGTGCACGGATGTGCACACATGCGTCACATCCCCAACCCAATGGCCGCGATTTGCGCAGCATGTCTTGCAAAGGTAGCAGAAAGGTGGCCTATGTAGCGGTGCAGATGATGGTCGAGATACCACAAGCGTGGAGCAATTCATGCCATGTGCATTTCTCGCTCGTGGCGTTTGTCTCTGTTGTACTGCTCTGAGCAATCAGTTGATTGCTGCAGAAGTGGGGCCAGCGTGCGATGCATCTCACGACTATGGCAAATCTAATATCATGCGCCGATTCACGATGGCTGAAACAACGACTCTGGACAACAGTATGTATCTGCTTCCGAGGCGCCCATTCCGTGTCAGGTTTACTGAGCATGGCCTTGGCCTAACGTCATGGGCAACATCCTGTACATCAAAACGAGTCTGTGCCACGCACAAAATTCCGAAATGCCTGAAACATTGAACCCGACTCAGTATACCAAAAATTTCGGAACTATTTGGCCCCGGCTGTGCCAGTAATGCGCCACAATGCGCTTCAAAGCGCTTCCCTTGCGCCTTCAGCCCCATCGCCCACCGCACCTGCGAGCTGTTGGCCTTGAAGTCATGTCTCCCGGGGGGCATCCCGGGCCTTGGGGGATGATCAATCATGGCGTTCTGCATGCTTGTTTCGTACCCAATGTCGGCATTGTTGCCAGGGATCCAGCTGGACCTCACTCTTCTGGCGGCCAAGATCGCTGCGGCGTTTGGCAGGCGAGCGCATCCCTTTCGGCCTCCGTGCACGTCCAGGCTGTGTGTCCTGTAGTTTCCCACCTCGCCATCATCCCCGAGCGGCAGGGATGATTGGGTTTTCCCTATCGTGCCGGCTCGCATCTGCGCCACGGCCACCAAGCTGTTAGTCAGCTGCGGAAAACTCGGGGTTTGCACCAATGGCAGTGGCGCAGGCGCAAGTCGCATCCGCGATGCGATCAAGTGCTGAAACTCGCAGAGGGCACTGTGCAGGCGACACAGCGTTGGCACTGATTTTTCTTTTGCGGTATTGTCCCGACGTGAATCTGTGGAGCGGCTCGCAGAGTGTGCAATATCGCGTTACTTAAGATCTGCTTGAATGGCACTAACGAATTGGCCAAGCAGCCATGGAAGTCAATCCTCATGCACCGGTAAGCTTCATAGCCCCGCCCACCAATCCAAGCATCATTCTTCCTTCGTTGCGAGGTGGGGGCAAGTCTTTGAATTTGGCCAAGTGTGCACCAAAGATTTTCTCACATATCTGTTTTCAAACAGCCAACATAGACACGACAGATTGGAGTTTAGAATGATAACGTTGTATCCAAAACAACGGGGAGGAATGCAGACGCTTGTCAGAGATCCTTGGGCGCAGTAACCGAAATTTTGGGGTGCTTGCATTGACTGTGTTACAGCAGTATGTCCCTAAGGCCACAAGCATCTGCGATGCATCGCCAATGGCACCCACACGCATCTTTTCTTTGAAAACTCCCCCTTTGTCCGCTTGGCAGATTAAGTCCACAGCTGCCTCACTGGGGGCGGAAGTCAGGCGTCCCGCTGTTTGGATTGTTGAGCACGACGACTCCGAGTCTGGCGACTTGCATTCGTCCTTATCTGCCCAAACCTCCTCTGTGGGGTGGCAGGAAATCTCATCGATCTGTTACATATGAGGGAATACGCACACACTGTTTTACAAATGCTGAAAATTTCTTATCAGTAAATTGGCACATATCCAAGACGCGCCGAGAATTATCAGCCACAAATCCATTTGAAGGTCAAGAACTGCCAATTCTAATCCGAAACGGCTATCTCGCGACAGGCGCAACGTGCCAGAGCATCATGATGGCCTTATGTTCTCTGTTCTGACACGCACACTGCCTTTCAGGGAGGCAATGCCGGCGTGGACCGGGCATCTATTGCCAAACGAATGTACATGCGCCTTTTGCTGTGTGTTCGGCAAATGCGAAACGATTTCCAGCGGAACGGGCAGAATCCCGCGACCATGTATTTGTTCCCAATAGTTTATAACTAATGGGCATAATAAAACTGAAACTGCTGTTGCTCAAGACACCGTCCGTTTTAGTCATGCAATGCACCGTGCGCCAAATTTATGTGCAGGAACGACACCTTGTGTGGCTGTTTGTGCAGACCAGGTTTAATGCCTACCAGCATACCATTCGAAAATGGCGCCATCTTTAGGGGGACATGCGACGTTCCGCGATGGCTAGATCTTCTCGGTGGCGGCGTTTGTGGCTGTGCACGACAGGAGCTCACATGCGTTAGCCTCGCAGCGGCAATCGCCAAAGTCCCCAAAAGTGGCATATTCTTGCGCCAAGGCGTCGAAGCGCATCAGCCACCCGCACTGCCAATGCGCATCGCCAATGCGTCTACTGCGCACCGAGCTGGAATGTCAGATCAATAAGAGCAGAGCCAAAACGGCTTTTCTCTGCATTCTATTGGCTAAGCAGAGCTAAAACCAAGAATCAATCTGAGCACGAGCCAGTTTTGTTAACAGCTTCCCCGAAACTGTCAGTGTCCCCAAAAATTGAATCATGGACAAAATTTAAATCAAATCCGCGCCTGCTTCTTTCCTTGGTGCACGCATTGCTGCAGCGAAACGATACACTCAGTTGCGCTGGGTAACTTCTCTGAAGCTTCTTCCCTTTACGCAGCAATTGGTACATGCATCGGAGAATTTGAAACGTCGATTGTTTCTGCTCGGCAGTTCCGCAC